CTGGGTAATATTTGAGGGCTTACTTACATGCCTGGAGATACACTAAGTATTTAACGTGCACTGGTTCCTTTAAAACTCACACAGTCGATGATGTCAGGGCTATTATTATCCCCATTTTGCAGGGAAGACACTGAATCTTGACCAAGGCCAATAAGCAGTAAGTCAGGATCTGAATCCAGGTTTGCCTGGCTCCAGAGCTTACTCTCGATGTCATTAATACTGCCTCTTGCAAGTAAAATTTTCTTATTATAAATAACCATGTGAACACCACCAACTTTTTAAACATGGTAAGTGTGTTTTAATCAAATATCTGTGTAGTATAGAAAACATTGTCCTATACTTCCCTCAGGTAAAGCATCAGGTCTATATCCTTTTTGTTAGTTTGCTTTTAGCATAACAGGAGAAATTCTGTTTTCAAAGCTATATTCCAGAAAAGTAATGACAAGCAGCACCTCCATCTTTAGGGACAGTCTGATATTCTTGTTAAAAAGGAAACATCAGGTCCAAAATGGAGTCACTTGTACTAAGTCCCATGTCAGCAAACCAAGGCTTGATACCTAACCTAACTGCAGCTTCGATTACCTGGTCAGCTCTAGTGAGGTAATCGGCCCACCTGATATGCCCTTTCTGTTCCCCTTATGAGGGTGACCTTGCCTGAAACAATGCATTCATTTATTTTTAATTAATTTTTTATTTTTGTTATTGAAGTATAGTTGACATACGTTATATTACTTTCAGGTGTACAATACAGTGATTTGACAATGCTATATATTACTCACTGCTACATGATTAAGTGTAGTCAGCATCTATCCACCATACGTCATTATTATAATATTATTGACCATATTCCCTATGTTGTACTTTTCATCTCCATGACTTACTTATTTTATGACTGGGAGTTTGTACCTCTTCATTCTCTTCACCTACTTTACCCATACCCCCATCTCCCTCCCCTCCAGCAACCAACAGTTCTCTGTATTTATGAATCTGTTTCTGTTTGTTTTGTTCCTTTCATTTTCTTTAGTGTCCGGATATAAGTGAAATCATATGTTATTCATCTTTGTCTGACTTATTTCACTTAGAATAATACCCTCTAGGTCCATCTATGTTCTCACAAATGGCAAGATCTTATATGATCCAGCAGTTCCACTACTGGGTATTTACCCAAAGAAAATAAAAATACTAATTCAAAAACACGCATGCATCTCTACGTTTACTACAACGTTATTTACAATATAGCCAAGATATAGAAGGAACCCAAGTATCCATCAATACATGAATGGATAACGAAGATGTGTGTATATATATACATATATACACACACACACACAATGGACTATTACTCAGCCATAAAAAAGAATGAAACACCGTTTTGTTTGCTAATTTCCTTTCCCCCTTTTCTGCCTTTAAAAGCTCTTCCTTTTCTACAGCTCAGCAGACTTCTATTTGCTAGATGGGGTGCTGCCCAATTCATGAATTGTTGAATAAAGCCATTTTGATCTTTAAATTGAAGATCATTGAAATTTTGCTTTTTAACACTCTTAACATAGTCTTCTCTAAAAACCATTAAGTACCTCATATTGTATACCGTAGTCTCAATTTTTAGAAAAATCTAAGTCCACAGTTATTTATTTTTCCTTTGTAGAATTCTGACTTTGTGTTGATTTAATTCAGGAAGAGTTTAAGGGGGGTGTCTGGGTGGCTTGGTCAGTTTAGTGTCCAATTCTTGGTTTTGACTCAGGTCATGATCTCGAGGTCATGAGATTGAGCCCTGTGTTGGGCTCTGCACTCAGCACAGAATCTGCTTCAGATTCTCTCTCTCTCTCTCATTCCCACTTGCACTGTCCCTCCCTCTCTCTCTCTCTCTCTGCAAAATAAATAAATAAATAAAATGTTTTTAAAAAGGGAGAGTTTAAGAACAAGACCTGGATTTTCATTTAAGACTTTATTTTCTCCGAATCTGATCCATGGGAAGTGATTTTTGTGGTACATATGCTCAGTATATAACAGATCATAGTGCTGTATCACAGACTTTCACTCTGTGGGCTTCTATCCCTGAATCTTTCTGCTTTGGGGAGACAGTGTGCTTAGCTCCAGTCTGTAGATCTCGATTCCCTTAAACCAGTTATAATAATCCTTCTGTTGTGTCAGATACCCACTATCCCAATCTCCCTTGCAACTAGTGGTGGCCATGGGATCCAGTCTTCATCAATGAGATATATGGATGAAGTCTGTTAAGAGGATTTTAAGAAAGATTTTATTTTCAGATACTACAACAGACACACGAAGAAAAGCTTACTGGCACCACACTTTGTCTCGTTTCTACTTGCTTCTTATGTGAACATGTTGCCTGGAAAGGCAAGCTTCATCTTGTGACCATCAGGCAACATGCTAAAGACAACTGAGCAGAACGTTAGAAAGGCCTGGATCCTCTGAAGCTGAACCAAGCCTGCCACTGCCTACCTCCCAACTACTCATCAGGTGAGGAAACCAAATTTTTAATTGCATAAGCCAGTGTTAACCAAGTTTCCTATTTCTTGATATTAAAAGTCTTCCTAATGATTAGATATCACAAATGTATATGTTAAATTTTTAAGACAAGGCACCCCGGTGACACGTGTCAGTGCATTGTTTGCTTGGTCAGTGCTGTCAAGATTAAGTCACATGCCTTTGCATTGGTGATTTCTTAACATTCTGGGGTATGACAGGCCACTTCCAAAAGGTTGGTTATCACATTATAACAGAAATACCTATATAATACACTTGTTATTTTTCATGAGTATTCAGTATGAAATACATTTTAGAAGAAAATCTGCTGGCATTGATTTTTTCCTCCCAGGATCACTTGCAAACATCTAAATGAATGCTCCTGATTTGGAAAAGACTGACCCAGCAAGCTCCTCTCTTCCCATTTAAAGCCACCCCCAGGGCTGCAGCTCAGAGCCAGGGAGAGCCTGCTGATCACAGAGGCAGCTGTGGCAGAGTATTCATTAGAGGAACCCAAACATGCTCAGAAGTACATTTCCTGAAGGTTGCACCTAAGTAGTAAACTTGAAGCAGTTGAAAACAGAATGCTTGTGAGTTCTCAATAATTGTGTAATCAAAGCCACCGTGACCAAGATCTAGAGCTGTGTGGTCTGGAAGAGAATGGGTGGCAGATGCAGACCAAAGATGAAGAAAGCACTAGGACATAGCCTGCCTCCTTTCTCACCCGTGGGGAAGGTGTCTAGTGATTCCCCAGTGAAAAGGGATTTGAAGTTACCATCACAGCTGAATGACTTGTTACTTTACTATTAGACATAATTATGCTTTGTAAACAACTCTTGAGCAAAACTACATTCACTTCTTTTTTCATAGTATAGGGCTAGTAATTTCAATTAATCATCTTTTTCACCTTTGTAAGCTTTTTTTTTTTTTTTTTTAAGATTTATTTATTTGAGAGAGAGAGCATGAGAGCAAGTGGGGAGCGGCAGAGGGAGAGAATCTCACGCAGACTCCCTGCTGAGCATGGAGCCTCTCAAGCAGGCCCATCTCATGAAATACGAGATCACGACCTGAGCCAAAACCAAGAGTCAGATGTTCAACTGACTGAGCCACCCAGGTGCCCCCATCTTTGAAAGCTTTTAAATGATAGAGACCTTTCACAGTGATATTTGTAATGGGTGGACCGAGTTGATGATTTTAGTCAAATTTCTTATCTCTAGAGTGAGCCCCAGTAGGTGAGCAGAAATGCCCTCTTATTTCCCCCATCCTGCTTAATGGTCTAATGTTTATAAAGCACTTCACACAGTCTGCTTATAGTAAACACCACAGATAATAGCTTTCTCTCCTAGCCCTTACAGAGGTCTTTCTCAGCACTGCTTATATTTCCCATGAATAACTGTCATCATCAGTAATGAGGAACGTGATAGTCACACCGTGTCCACCTCTGTTAGATCATACCTTAAAATGGGCAGCACACTGTAAGAGAGACAGTATCAAAATTAGTCCAGCTGAGACTGAAAATCACATTTTCTGGGGAATGGCTAATGGGTTAGGGATGTTTAGTCTGGAGTAATGAAATCTTAGGAGAAATGTGTTTGAAAGATATCTTCAACCCTATACAAGGCTGTCATGTTGCAGAGGGCTTCGTCTTGTTCTATTTGGGCCCCAGAGGATGGAAATAGGCTCAGTGAGTAAAAGGAGTACAGAAATTATTTTTTAGTCAACCTCCTTCAGTAGTGTGGTTCTCAGGAATCATGGGCTAACTTAAGAGAGTACTGACATTGTTGGTTTGAAAATTTAGGAGACATGGAAACCAGGTATACCTTTGTTTTAACCCAAATCAGACCACAAAGATTTCACCAAGATTTTATAAGCTACACAACTGAACTCTGCTCACAATCCTGCCCCCTCCTTCCACACTATGACCTATAACAGAAGATTCAGGAGATATCTCTCATCCCAGGCACTGCCTCAGCCCTTGACAGCCAAAGATTTGTAACAGTAGTATGAGGCTTAGCACTATGCTTTGAAGAAGCAAAAATAACAAATATTAGATATGCTTGGACTGGTTCCTAAGGGGAGGGGTCTGCTGGAAATAACAATGTTGTTCTAAAGCAATTTGTCAGGGTTAATTAAAAAAAAATAAAGTCATGCAAATATGAGGCTATGCATAACAATTCAAAATCACCTGCCTTGAAATCATCTCAGCTGAGAGGGTGTGAAAATTTTCCTCCAGTCTGAGTTATTATCTGTCCTTTTCATAACTGTCAGGCCTGTATGATTATTGATGTTATTTTCCAACACTCCCGCACACTTTCTCTCCCACTAAAACTCTCTCATGCTTCTGCTTCACTGCTAGGTGTTCTTCGTTCTTGAAAACCAGAGATCCCCCGCATCCAGCATCCTACCAGTGCCCCTCTGGGCTGAGAGGAACAGTAATGAGCTTACAGTAAGAGAAAAGGTAGCCCTCTTATGAGGATGGGGTAGTGATGGAGAAGGTGGTCCCTCTTGCTGACCTTTGGTCCAGTGTCCTGAGACTCCAGGAGGCCAGCTGATCTTCTGTGTGACCAATATGTGAGCTCAGCTCTGGCTGCCTAAAAAGATAAACATTGTGAAACCTCTCCCTTAAGGAAAAGTCAAGGAATTTATTTAAAGTCATAATGATCATAAACTCATATATAGAATCCTTGAACACTTAATAGTAACAATATTGGTAAAGGAGACTATAGTCAGTAATTTTTATTAAAAACCTTGTTGAAGCATAATTTTCGTACCATAAAATCACTCAGATTAAATCTACCATGATTTTCAGCAAGGTTATAGAATTTGCAGCCATCACCATTGTCTGATTTCATGTCTTTTCCATCACCCTCAGAAGAAATCTTACTGTTACTCCGCATTCCCAACCCCAGGGCTAGGCAACCTCTAATCTCCTTTCTGTCTCTGTGGGTTGGCCTGTTATGGACACTCCATATAAATGAAATCATACATACGTGTTCTACTGCTCTGACTTCTTCCGCTGACCTTAAAATTTTTGAAGTTCATCCATGCTGTAGCATGTGCCAGTCAGTACTTCATTGCTTTTTATCGCCAAATATTCCATTGTGTAGACATACCACATTATGGACATTTAGGCCTTTTCCACTTTTTGCCTCTAGTGAATAATAGTGCTATGAACATTCATATACAGCAGTCTTTTAAAGGGTTTATCCAAAATCTCATCCTATCTCCTTTCCAGTAGACTAAAAAAGTGTCATAAACGTCCAGATTCTTCCACCTGAGAGCCACTATTTGAACCTGTTTCCTTCTCCATGTCTTCCTTCATGTCTGCCCCTGCCCATTCTTTTGCAGCACCATCCAGTACCAAATTACTTGCTATTCTCCAGAAGGCTTTGTAGAATCCACCAACATACCTATTTAAAATATTGTATTTCAGGCTGCATTCCAACTATTAGAATGTTCTAACCAATTTCCTTTCATTCTGTCCTACAATCTCCAGCCAAGCCCCTTGGCCCCATTCTTGTGAGGCATAGTATAAAGGTCTCTTTTCAGGACATGGAAACATACAATTTTTAGATGGAAAAATCAGATGCCAGATAGGGATAGCTAGTAGGTAAAAACAGCCACATCTTCTCCAGTAGTTAGATCTCTAGCTAACTGAGTAGCTTGGACTACCCCAACACTGATGGTTGGGAGCAGAAGATTCAATTCTACTTTAGAAAGGAAAAAAAATCACTCATTTAAACCTGTAAAGTAAGTTTACAACTAAGCAATACTTCCATTAAAATGGTATAAAAATTTTTCCCTTTTATTCAGATCTCAGAATATAACACATAATCACACTTTATATTTCCTACAAAGAAAGGTAAGATTTCCATTTATTTTAATGAAGACCTAGTTCATAATATCCAATTGGTAAACTTAATGACCTTGATACTTCAAGAAATTGGACTCCAATAGCTAATGGAAAGACTGATTTTTTTTTTTTTATTTCTAGCCTTGGCATGTACATATATGCATACACGAAAAGCATTGAAATTCCTCAAAATGTGCATAATTACTGACCTTTTTTTTTTAAGATTTTTTAAATGTATTTATTTGAGAGAGAGAGAGAACAGAGTGAGAACATGAGTGGGGGGGGAGGGGCAGTGGGAGAAGGAGAAGCAGAGTCCCTGCTGAGCAGGGAGCCCAATGTGACCCAGGGCTCTATCCCAGGACCCTGGGATCATGACTTGAGTCGAAGGCAGACGCTTAACCGACTGAGTCACCCAGGTGCCCTTACTGACCTTTTTTCTTAAGGAAGGATCCTTAACGTTCTCGAAACCAAAAAAACCACTTTACCCTATAGCGTCAAGGATAATTCTTCAGGGTTCCTACCTATGTGTGAAAGGAGGAGGTTGGACACATTTATAGACAAGGCTTCAAAAGTCGAGGAAAAGCCTGTGCATGAGCCCCAAGCCTGATCTCATCCCAGGTCCCTCCCCTTCAGATTTCCATCTCCAGTAGTCATCAGGTATGTTCTAGGAGGTGGGTTTCCCAGCAGTTCTCCAGAGCCCAGTCCCTCCCTTCAAAAAGGATGTGGTGTCCCCAAAGCCCATTATTTCTTTAATTAGCTCATTCAAGGAGTGAGTTTGATTATTAACAGTCAGTTTCTCTTTTCCAACATCTCTGGAGGTAGAGACTTTTGTGAGTACTGCCAAGGGAGGGAACAAACTCTAATTTTTCCATCTAATCTTGCTCCCCCTTAGTGGCAAAAAATTTTATCCCTCTACCCAAAAGCAAAAGAGAGTTTATGAGAGGGGTTTAACTTTCACCTATTTGCAGCCTGAAGGATGATTTTGAAGGAGATCAGTATATGCCACCCACAAATATGCCAATTTGATATAAGGATTATTTTGAGCTGAAAGCAATTAAAAATTAACAGGTGCAGGAAGAGTCACTACCTTTTTCTTTTTTGCCTAAAAGCAGGGTATAAATTTCCCTTTGTGTCGGTGTTTCCTCACCCATTCCTACCACCATACCAAGAAGCAGAGAGCACTCTTACCACTGGAGACAGAAAGTCAACACCAAAACAAGTTTGGTTAAACAGATGTTGGTAAAATAACCCTTATCTTCTATTAATCCCTCCAAATATTTCCTACTCACTTTCTCACAACCTATTGTCCCTTGAAACCCAAATCCCCTTTCCTTTTTTAAAATGGAAAAGTCTAGGCACTTTTTTGTGAACTCCCATGCACTTAAAATACTATAAACGTTGTACACCTTTTCTTTTGTAAACTTCTTTTGTTAGTTTTTAAAAAATTTTTTATTGTTATGTTAATCACCATACATTACATCATTAGTTTTTGATGTAGGGTTCCATGATTCATTGTTTGCATATAACACCCAGTGCTCCATGCAGAATGTGCCCTCTTTAATACCCATCACCAGGCTAACCCATCCTCCCACCCCCTCCCCTCTAGAACCCTCAGTTTGTTTTTCAGAGTCCATCATCTCTCATGGTTCATCTCCCCCTCTGATTTCCCCCCCCTTCATTCTTCCCCTCCTGCTATCTTTTTTTTTTTTTTAAGATATATCGTATTATTTGTTTCAGACGTACAGATCTGTGATTCAACAGTCTTGCACAATTCACAGCACTCACCATAGCACATACCCTCCCCAATGTCTGTCACCCAGCCACCCCATCCCTCCCACCCCCCACAACTCCAGCAACTCTCAGTTTGTTTCCTGAGATTAAGCATTCCTCAGATCAGTGAGGTCATATGATACATGTCTTTCTCTGATTGACTTATTTCGCTCAGCATAACACCCTCCAGTTCCATCCACGTTGTTCCAAATGGCAAGATCTCATTCCTTTTGATGGCTGCATAATATTCCATTGCATATATATACCACACCTTCTTTATCCATTCATCTGTCGATGGACATCTTGGCTCTTTCCACAGTTTGGCTATTGTGGACATTGCTGCTATAAACATTGGGGTGCACATACCCCTTCGGATCCCTACATTTGTATCTTTGGGGTAAATACCCGGTAGTGCAATTACTGGATCGTAGGGTAGCTCTATTTTCAACTTTTTGAGGAACCTCCATACTGTTTTCCAGAGTGGCTGCACCACCTTGCATTCCCACCAATGGTGTAGGAGGGTTCCCCTTTCTCCACATCCCCACCAACATCTGTCGTTTCTTGACTTGTTAATTGTAGCCATTCTGACGGGTGTGAGATGGTATCTCATTGAGGTTTTGATTTGGATTTCCCTGATGCTGAGCGATGTTGAGCACTTTTTCATGTGTCTGTTGGCCATTTGGATGTCTTCTTTGGAAAAATGTCTGTTCATGTCTTCTGCCCATTTCTTTTTTTTTTTTTTAAAGATTTTATTTTATTTTATTTGACAGAGAGAGACACAGCGAGAGAGGGAACACAAGCAGGGGGAGTGCAAGATGGAGAAGCAGGCTTCCCACAGAGTGGGGAGCCCGATGTGGGGCTCGATCCCAGGACCCTGGGACCATGACTTGAGCTGAATGCAGACGCTTAACGACTGAGCCACCCAGGCGCCCCTCTTCTGCCCATTTCTTGATTGGATTCTTTGTTCTTTGGGTGTTGAGTTTGGTAAGTTCTTTATAGATTTTGGATACTAGCCCTTTATCTGATATGTCATTTGCAAATATCTTCTCCCATCCTGTCGGTTGTCTTTTGGTTTTGTCGACTGTTTCTTTTGTGTGCAAAAGCTTTTTATCTTGATGAAGTCCCAATAGTTCATTTTTGCCCTTGCTTCCCTTGCCTTTGGCGATGTTTCTAGGAAGAAGTTGCTGTGGCTGAGGTCAAAGAGGTTGCTGCCTGTGTTCTCCTTTAGGATTTGGATGGACTCCTGTCTCACAGGTCTTTCAACCATTTGGCATCTATTTTTGTGTGTGGTGTAAGGAAATGGTCCAGTTTCATTCTTCTGCATGTGGCTGTCCAATTTTCCCAACACCATTTGTTGAAGAGACTGTCTTTTTTCCATTGGACATTCTTTCCTGCTTTGTCGAAGATTAGTTGACCATAGAGTTGAGGGTCCATTTCTGGGCTCTCTGTTCTGTTCCATGGATCTATGTGTCTGTTTTTGTGCCAGTACCATACTATCTTGATGATGACAGTTTTGTAATAGAGCCGGAAGTCCGGAATTGTGATGCCGCCAGCTTTGCTTTTCTTTTTTAACATTCCTCTGGCTATTCGGGATCTTTTCTGGTTCCATACAAATTTTAGGATTATTTGTTCCATTTTGTTGAAAAATGTTGATGGTATTTTGATGGGGATTGCATTGAATGTGTAGATTGCTCTAGGTAGCATTGACATCTTCACAATATTTGTTCTTCCAATCCATGAGCATGGACGTTTTTCCATTTCTTTGTGTCTTCCTCGATTTCTTTCATGAGTATTTTAGAGTTTTCTGAGTTCAGATCCTTTGCCTCTTTGGTTAGATTTATGCCTAGGTATCTTATGGTTTTGGGTGCCATTGTAAATGGGATCGACTTCTTAATTTCTCTTTCTTCTGTCTTGTTGTTGGTATATAGGAATGCCACTGATTTCTGTGCATTGATTTTATATCCTACC